AGCCCACCCTCTATTGTGACCATGGAGGTAAAGCATTGTAATTAATAGTAAGTAATCAGAGCAAAGGGGAGCTGTCGGTTGGGGGACTTCCTGGAAGATTTTATCATATACTCAGGATGTATAGGAGAGCTATGCAATTCTTTCATAGTAGTAAATTGGGGAGTCAGAGGGGGGTCGCTTCCCAGTGAGGCTGCCTCAATTCTCTGGAGCAAATAGCAAGCAGCCTTGCTGACATGCTAACTGACCCAAGCTTTGTTCCAAGGTCGGGGGGGTGCACAACAGTAGCCTTGCCAACGTGTTGATCCGACCGAAAGCGGAGCTCAAAGGTCTGGGGGCTCAGACAGATCCTGGGGCCTCACCGGGTCGGACTCCTCCAAAGTTGCTTTGGTTTCAGCCTTTGGGAGCTCACTCAGGTGTCCTCCTGAGTCTTTTGAGCATGCAACAACTTTTTATATTTTTATTTTTTAAGGTTTTTGCCATAGGGTGTGTGCAATCACCTGAGAGAGTCAGAGAGAGAAAAGTCATGTCCCAGGGAAATGGCCATGTCACAGTCCCTTTTCCATTCTCCTCTCAGAATTTTGAGCACACATATGCACACACCCAATGTGGGGTTTTTGGTTTTTTTTTTTGTTGTTAAGAGGTTTTTTGCCTTAGGGCATGTGCACTCGCTGGGGAGACAAGAGGGAAAGTGAGAAATCAATCCCCAGGGGATGGCTATGCCACAATCCCTTTTCCTCCACTCTCCTCCCAGGGTCTTGAGCACACATGTACATATACATGGCATGATTTTCAAACTGCAGGATCTGGGAGTTGAACTGTTGTTGGCCATGTGGGAGTCTAGCGACATAACCACTACACCATCCTCTATCCCCTCGTGATTTTCAAGCTGCCAGGTTCAAGACTCGAACTGTAGTTGGCCATGTAGGAGTGTCCAGTATATTATCCACCACACCACCTGCTGACTCCACAACTTTTATTTTTTAAAGCCGTGGTCTCCAACCTTTTTGGCTCCAGGGACCAGATTCATGAAAGACAATTTTTCCACTGAGCGGTTGTGGGTTGGTTTCTGGATAATTCAAACACATTATGTTCATTGTGCACTTTATTTCTATTATTATTACATTGCAATATATAAGAAGTTACACAACTCAACAGTATACAATGCAGTATTTGCAGCTGCTCTCTAGCACTCACATCACTGCCTCAGCTCCACTTCAGATCATCATTCAATTCCATAAGGAATGCACAGCTTCAATCCCTCACATGTGCGTGTGCAGTTCACAACAGGGTTCAGGCTCCTATGAGAACCTGATGTCTCTGCTAGGAGCTGGGGCTTAGGCAGTAAGGAGAGCAGTGAGGAGCAACTGTCAGCACAGGTGAAACTTCCCTTGCTCACCTGTAGCTCACCCCCTGCTGTGTAGTGTGTTTCCTAACAGGTGGGTGGGGGAGTGGTTGGGGACCCCTGTTTTAAAGCACCTTTGTATGGCATGTTAAAATGCTCAAGGCTTGGGGCCCGCAAGTGGTGTGGGGTGTGGCAGTTAACATGGTTGACTGCAGTTTGAGTCCCAGACCTGCTGGCTTCCTTCTCTCTCTCTCTTCCCCTCTCCAGCCCCCTGCCCCCCCTCCCCCCTGTCAAATTAAAATAAACAAGCAAATAAAGTTAAATGAAATAATTATTTTAAAAAATTAAAATTTAAAATAAAAGGATGCTCAAGGCTCAAAGGTGATGTTTTATATAACTCTCTGGTCCCAAGAATGGCCAAAGGGATATTAAAGTCACCAAGAATAACTTGGAGGTTGCCAAGGACTTGTTTAAAAGTATTTTCAAGTCCGACCGAGAACTCCGACATTTGAAAAGAGATAAGATGGGAATATTTTAAATTATGTCTTCATAAAGTAGAAAATGTTTATAATCAACAATAGCCAAATAAAAAAAAAAAGCTCAAAGCTCATCTCTTATTTTCATTATCCCTAGCTTTGGAATTACCTAGTATTCAAAAGAGCCCAGGTTCTTTTTTTTTTTATTATTATTTAGAAGCCACTGTCTAGGAACTAGATGTGTTCATTGCTACAGGTGTGTCACTCTTCTCACTCCTCAGTGGATAGAGCTGGGAAATGTATGTGTATACACTAACTCATGCATACACATCTATGTATGTGTATACAAGATTTTAAAACAGGGAGTTCATATTATCTCTGACTCTACTTTGCTTCATTTATAATTTATACATTTTTAACTAGGTATCTTTTTATCTTAAAAATCATTAAAAAATAATGTACACAGTAAGCATTTTAACTAGACACATGCTATTATAAGTTTAAGTATCCTAAGAGTATTCTTTTTTTTTTCCAATTTTATTCATTTATTCATTTATTTTCATTTGACCAGAGAAAGACAGACACATAGAAGGAAAGTGAGAAAGCAAGCTACCCGGTCCAGGACTCGAACTATGGTTAGCCATGTGGGATTGTCCAGTGCCTTAACCACCAAGCCACCTGCTGGCCCAAGAGTATTCTTTAATAAGTAGTCATTTACACGTGTATCTGAAATCTTCTCTCTTTTATTCTTGTGAGAGCATACTCTACTTTTTGCACCTACTTTTTTCATTGAATTGGACATTTGAGGCCATTTTGACAGGGAAAACTGTTGTTGTTTCCAAATTCAGATCTTAAAGGTTAAAGGGCCCCATGGGAGATGGAGAATAAGAACTGGAGAAGAAAGCTTTTACTTTTTTTGTTGCTTTCATAGAAACCCATGTTTGTGTGTTAAAGCTTGCTTTGGGGATTTTTAAGGGAAAAATGGAGGCTTACCGTCCATGTCACATGGGGGAAAGATCAGAAACTAGGGTCCTCCTTCACTCTGGATGTGGTTAGTAGCCAGACAAGAATGCACTGTTTCCGTAGGCATTACTGTCTCAGCTGCCATTTTCCACAGATAAACTATACCTCCTGCCAAAGTGCATATGGAATTCCCTCAAATCAAAGGAACCAAAACCTTTTAAAGACTACCTGGTGTATCAGAATTTAGATATAAGTAAAAAGCCTGTCACTATGTATCTGAGTATTTAAGTCAATCAGAGACTGAAGATGGTAAATTAAAAGACTAGAATTTCACATCTGTTTCTAAGGGGTCTTAGTTTAAAAAAAAAATGATCATGTATACTTTTCTTTTTCCTTCTTCTTTTTTTTTTGAAGAGGTTTTTGCTGCCAGAAAGACAGAGAGACAGAAAGCAAGAAATCACCCCCCAGGGCGGATGGCCATGCCGCAGTCCCTTCTCTTCCATTCTCTTCTTGGGATCTTGGGCATGCACGCACACGCACCCAGTGTGAGTTTAAGCCACTGGGTCCGGGACTTGAACCGCAGTTGACTATATGGGAGTTCAGTGACATAGCCATTACACTAACTGCTGGTCCCTTTTTCCTTCTTAAAGTGGATTGCTGTGCTGTTGTGCAACATTTGCTCAGTAGGATATAATTATTAATGATATAGTATTTTGTAATATGTGTAACTAAACCTTTTCCTTCTAGTTTCTTATCTTCTTGTGCTTGCAATTTTGCAGGGTTGCCTTATTCTGAGCGATGAACTGAACCATGCGTCGCTGGTTCTAGGAGCCAGACTATCAGGAGCAACCATTAGGATCTTCAAACACAACAGTGAGTGTGCAATGTAACTCCTTGCCAACCTTTATGGGGGTAGGGGAGTGGTGGTAACGTTAGTTATAGATAAATAATTCAAAATACAAATGAAGCTCAAGTAGCAACATTTAAAATATTCTTCTGGGCTAATATTTTACTCTCTTCCTCATAAGAAGGAAACCTTTTGTACAAAATGCAATACTCTCCATTTATTTGACTTTCAGGTTTTCTGTCCCTTTTCCTATTGTTCATATACATTTATTAGGTGCCTACTGTATGTCTTACAATGCTAAGGTGTTGAGATGAGTACATCAGAGTACCTGCTCTCAAGGATCTCTGGCTGGTACATAAAGGCACGTGGCAGATAAACCTGTTTGGACAGCACAGTGGACAGATGCTGCAATGCAGATGTGAACAGGTGCTGTAGGAGCACAGAGAATGGCACTAAGCCCAAACCTTTCCTCCCTAAATGGGAATGTCTCTGGGAATTACTAATCATTTATAATAAAAATGCTTATCTCCCATAGCTAAGATACACATAGGGAGAAAAGCTCACAGGACTGTATATTTACTATCATCTTTTGGCAAAATGTGTTCATACATAGACAGAAGTCTAGAATATGTATCAGAATGTTAGGTCTTCTCTGGATGGAGGGATTATGATGGATGCTAATAACTTCTTTTTTTTTTCCCCCTTGGTCTTACCTAAAATGTTTTGTAGTGAGATTAGTACGTATGGTATTTTGTTTTTGTAAATGAGATGGTATTAAACAGTCCTGTGTGACCCGCTTTTTCCTTTTTATAATGCATTGTGAATGTTGTCAGCACATGTGACTACTCATCTTTTAATACCAGCATAGCAGTCAAAGCCATGGCATAATTGATCCCTCAGTTTAGACAGTAAGGTTTCTAAATCTTCAACTGGAAATAGCAGTACACTTACATTTTGCACAGTCCGATTAGTAACTTAGGATAAAGTGCTCAATTCCCACATGGCTGACCACATTTGAGTTTTGGACTTGGCAGCTTGAAAATTACACTGGTTGCGTGTGCGTGCCCAAATTCCTGAGAGGAGAAGAGAATAGAGAAGGGATAGTGAGACATGGCCATTCCCCCTAGGGGGTGATTTTTCACTTTCCCTCTCTCTGTCTCTTTCTCTCTGGCAAAAGCCTGCACCCTATGGCAAAGACCTCAAGGGAAAAAAAAGTGTAAATTTTAAATACTTTTCCAAATTGCCCCCAAGTATCATATGAAGTTTTACTCAACAACGTAATAGTGACTATTTCTACTCATGGGCCAGCTTTGTCTACCATGAATAATTTTAAATCTTTTCAAATTTAATAAGTAAATACGTTAATTTTTATTTCTTAGATGGTAGGTATAGAGCAACTTTTTGTATGCTTACTGTATTTATATTTCTTAATAAATTGGCCATTTTCAAATTGTTTCTATTTGCTACTGGTCATAAGAGCCCTTTATACTAATTGTCCTTTCTTTTATATTGTGCTATTTTTAAATTTATTTTTCACTTTGTTTTTAGTGTCTTGCTTTGCAGACATGTTAAAACATTTACATTGTCTGGGGCTAGCAGGTGTCGTGTTGGTTAAGGGCACTGAACTCCCACATGGCTGACCACAGTTCAAGTCCCGGACTTGGTGGCTTGCTTTCTCTCTCTCTCTCTCTCTCTCTCTCTCTCACTCTCTCTCTCTCTCTCTCTCTCTGTCCCTCTCTGGTCAAATTTAAATAAAGTTAAATAAAATAATTCTTAAGAAAAAAATTTACATTGTCACACTTACTATCTTAAGACTTTTGGGTCTTATGTAATGTCTTCTTCATTCTAAGATCCCAGGGTCATTCTCTTGCATTTTCTTCTGGGAGTTGTGTGGTATGTTTTTAGTTTAAATTTACATGGAATTTGGGGAGGACATAATATAAGAGAATGAGAAAGAGAGATTGAATTTTTTAAAAGAATTATTTACTTAACTTCATTTATTATTATTATCTATTATTACTGTTATTATTTAGTTGCTACAGGGTACATATACTCACTAGAGAGAGAAAGGAAGTGAGAAAGCAAGCCTCCAAGTTCAGGGCTCAAACCATGGTCAGCCATGTGGGAGTCCAGAATCACAACCAGATATGACCAATCATTCTGGACTAGATATTTCATTTTATCTGAAAATTCGAATCGCCATTTTTGTATCCTCCTGTCTGTGCGTGAACATAGGAAACTAAAAACGTTGTACATTTTTGCTGGTCTCCTGTTGGTTGCCAGACATTGCTCTCTGCAGCAGGGCTAGAGGGTTAGGGTAGGCCCCCGCTACTCCTGTCTTGTTAGGTAGCATGAGATTGTTTGGTTACATATAGCCAAAGGGATATGCACAGTCATAACCTTTGGCTATCTCATTCTCTTTTCTATCAAAGTCTTTTTATGCTGTACTGGCAGGTGGTGTAGTGAAGGCACTGGACTCCCACATGGCTGACCACGGTTTGAATCCCGGATCTGGCGGCTTGCTTTCTTACTTTCTCTTTCTCTCTCTGGCCAAATTAAAAATTAATAATAATAACAACAAATAATATTAAATAAATAAATAATTCAAAATAAATATAATTTATTAAAGAGTTTTCCTTTTATTTATTTTTTTTTTTTTTGGAGAGATTTTTCACTGTAGGGCACGTGCGCTCGCCAGACAGACAGAGAGAGACATAGAGACAGAAAGCGAGAAATCACCCCCCAGGGGGGATGGTCACGCCGCAATCCCTTCTCCTCCATTCTCCTCTCGGGATCTTGGGCACGCACGCACACGCGCCCGGCGTGAGTTTTAAGCCACCGGGTCCGGGACACGAACCGCGGTCGACTACGTGGGAGTCCAGCGACATAGCCATTACGCTAACTGCTGGTTCCCAAGAGTAGTCCTTTTATGAAAAGAACACAATTGTGTACTTTTGTAAACCCCCTCTTCTTGTTATGAGCAATACGGAATCAGATTTTATGATAGCCTGTCTCCCAATCCTGTTAAGCACACCCTGGACTTATATTGCTTAGATTTGGGGGAGTTTTTCATTTGTTTGTTTTAAGGGCTTCATTGTAGGGCAAGTATTTTAAGTGTGACATCTGTGGTGGTGGCCACAGTGGCCTTCAGAGCATTTGTCTTTAACAGGGAAGTTACAATCTACATTAGTGGTAATGCCAGCCAAGTTGTTTCCTAGGCCTTTTAACCACTTTCAGGACCCACAGAACTGTAAGAACTGGATGTGTATATAGACAGCTGATGAAGTCAGACATGGGCAGTCTCCACTGAGTGCCAAGCTTCTTTCTTTTTAATTTGCCAGAGGGCAAAGATGCTCACTGGAGAGAGAGAAGGTAAGTGAGAAAGCAACCCCCATGGGGAATGGCCACACCATGCTCATTTCTCCTCCATTTCTCTTTCCTTTAGTGACTTTGGGTATACATGCACATAAGTTCGGTGTGTTTTTTTAAGTTACTGAGTATGGGACTCAAACTATGCAACTGGCCACCAGGGATCCAGCCATTTTAACCATCACCCCACTAGTTGGCCAATCGCCAAGCTTCTTAACACGTAGCATGCATGCCCCAGACGGGTGTATTTTTAACTCAATACCAAAACAGATCTATTTAATAAGAATTTATTAAGTATAGGGGCCAGCAGTTAACATAATAGCTATGTCACTGAACTCCCATGTAGCCGACTGCTGTTCGAGTCCCAGACCTGGTGGCTT